AAGAAACCTATGGTGTCTTAAATAAAATAAAGCAATTTTATTTGGTATTCATGTTTGTGGACCTACTTCATTGGTTCCATGTTAGTCTTAAAGGTGTTCCAAGAAATTGCTTCTTGTTTTTGCTGCTGAATGTACCCCCCTGGAAATGTTCACAAGAGTTGAAACCCACTGACCTAGTAGATGGAAGTTGGATGACAGATATAAAGCCTGTGAGCAAGCTCTAATGTCACAGAAGATACTCTTTTTCTTCTTCCCCCTTTTTATCACGAAGGCCCCTTCCACACAGCTGTATAAAATCCACATTGAACTGGATTATATGGCAATGTGTGGACTCAGATAATCCAGTTCAAATCAGATATTGTGGATTATCTGCCTTGATATTCTGGCTTGTGTAAGAGCCCTATGTTGGCAAAGCTTGCCTTAGATTTGGGCCATCCAGGTTTTGGACACCTACCAGTGTGATATGATATGCATTAGGTAGCAACAGTAGTATGCAATGGCTTTCAAATTGATAAAATTAACTCCTTGAGAATGGAGTTTGGGAGGATCTATGATACTCAGGGCCCTTCTACACAGCCATATAACCCAGAATATCAAGGCAGAAATCCCACAATATCTGCTTTGAACTGAAATATATGGCAGTGTGGATTCAGATATCCCAGTTCAAAGGAGATATTGTGGAATTTTCTGCCTTGATATTCTGGGTTATATGTGTGTAAGGGCCCTCGGTGAGTGTTACATGACACAATTGTGGGCTTCCCACATCCCAGAAGTTGAAGAAGGGGTAATTTCAGCAAGTGAGGTTTGTGTGATAAGGAACACCTGTTGAAATCCTCTCTTCCACACAATATTTAAAGATACAAGAGCCTTGTATCTTATTTTACCTGGATGGGACCATTCTCCATCACCAGAATCCCTAATGTGGTACTACTTCACCATCAAGGCCATGCTAAATTGTCTACTCAGCTCTTTTTCCATCCTATAGAAGTGGATCAAACTATTTCACCTTTAAATGTGTTTTGGAGTGACTTGCAAAAAAATAATGTCTCAGTCTTTGGCACAGACTGTGTTACTCCACAGGTGGGCAGTGGGATTCCATCTCTGCCCATCCCTCGTCCCAATCAAGTTGATGAAGTACTATGTATAGTCAAAGGCTTTAATGGCCAGAATCACTGGGTTGTTATAAGTTTTTAGGGCTGTATGGTCATGTTCCAGAAGCATTTGCTCTTGACATTTCACCAGGAGAGAATGCTTCCCTCTCCACCATTAAACCTTTCAGGCAATAGTATTTAGCTACGGGTAGACTCTACCTTTCAATAGAGGTTGCAGTAGGGTTGTTTATTTATGCTTTGTTTTGTTTTTGTACAGAATAGGAAACAGATGACTCTAATATCTATGATATACCTGCTTCACTCTAGTTTTTAGTCTGCATTTCAATGGAGCCAAGTTGCTGAATCCTAGCCCAGAAGAGGTTCAGCACCTTGGACAACTGCCATTAAACAAGAACAGATTCTGTAGACATTGGAGCCACCATCCTCCACTATAGTGATTGAACAAAAACTCTCATTCACTTGAATAGGGAAAAAAAACTCCTTCGTCAAGGATCCCTGAGGCAGCACAATTTTTGTGAGAGAGGAGGGGAGAATTCCCCCCCCCCCCAACAAAACAGATTTCAAGAAGTGGGCAGGACTGGGATTAAGTGAGATTGACTTGCTGAAGGCTATTGACATTATGGAAAATGTGAGGTTTGACCCAGAGGCCTCCTGCTTCACAGCTGTGTCTCTTAGCCACTACACAGCACTTGGTCTTGCCATCAGTCAGTCAAATTGGCTGTGTTTGAGTCTTGGAATAAAGCAAACATTCAGTTGCTAAGAATAGTGGTGATCTGGTCCATGGCAGAAGTGTATAGTTTCAAGGGATAACATTTTGCTACTAGTTTGTTCTTGTTGCAGTCAGGATCTTCTACACAACATGCTTTAGCTTTCAAGGACAAAAGGAGAAAGGTCCAAAATAGGTGAGAAGGGAACCTACAAGTATAAAGAAAGGTTTTGTTATATCAAACTAAAGATGTACCTAATGTAGCATTGGCCATATCCTGGGTATCATATAACCAGGATATAATGAAGACCATCCTTCCCCGTTCTTTGTCCCCAGCATTTAGTTTATTACCTACAGCGACAGAGGTTCTGCTTACTTCTTATGGCTATTGATTGACTGATGCTATTGACTGACCACAAATTAGTTAAAACTCTGGTTCTAAATTCTCATTGCTTAGTGCCATCTTATGGTGTATTTCCTGAAATATAGAGACGTTTCCTACCTTTAATTTGTGGATTTAAAAAATATATATGTTAAAGTGGTCCTGCATTGCTGAAGTACATTCATTTGAGTACATGAGCAAAGGGGAGGAAAGAGGCCCCAAAACTGTAACACCCAAAAGCTAAAAATGGTACTTTCTCTATTATACATACAACTTTAAACAAACCACACTTTAAAATGTAATTGTAAATGTAAGCTAAATGATGAGGTGGGAAGCATTGCTCTATTTTCTTTAATTCACCTTAAAACACCAAGTTCAATGGAACCCTCCATGGCACAATGGGTTAAACCCTTGTGTGGCAGAAATGCTGACCGACAGGTCAGCTGTTTGAATCCGGGGAGAGCACGTTGAGCTCCCTCTGTCAGCTCCAGCTCCCCATGCAGGGACATGAGAAAGCCTCACACAAGGATAGTAAAACATCCAGGCATCCCCTGGGCAATGTCCTTGCAGATGGCCATTCTCTCATACCAGAAGTGACTTGCAGTTTCTCAAATCGTTCCTGACATGAAAAAAACAAGTTTAATAAGCAAATTGGGGAGGGCTTGAAAGAGAGGATGAAAAGACACCATGCAACCCTAAATAACTATTTATCCCTATGCTGAGATAGTAAAAAAGGAGGAAAGTTATGTAGTGATGGTCTCCAGGTGAATGTAAGAGCTGAGCTGTCTTGGTAAGCAAGCCCCTAAGAAAAATGATAGGCTGTGTGGTCACTGTTTGTTCATTCCTATTATAAACTGTTGCAGAAGGCTGTGCAAACTCACAGATCAGCTTGCTGTATTAATTCTGTTCCCCATGGCACTCACCTGTGTATTACAAAGTGTCTGCTTACAAATGCTTCAAACAGGTCTCTGAAGACACCGAGGAATCAAAACTATCCAGCTGACACCTTTGTGCAAAGCTACATGTCAGGATTGATTCTAACAAGAGATTCATCTCAGATTTTTGATCTAACACCAGATACCATCCCATTCGCTTCTCCCAGAAGAGGAAAATAAACCATCCCCGCCCCCTTCCCCCACTCCTCCCGGGCAGCACTTGAATGGCTTTTTGCTGTATAATCACCCGGAGAGAATTTTTGGAAACATATGCACACAAGTAAAAATGCATTGAATTTAAAATTGATAAAGTATATATATATCTCTTTCTCAAAGGTCAATAGATCCTTTGCTGATGAAAGTTGACACATTGCTATGGAAGCTTCCATAGCCTATATCTCAAAATTGTGAGATATAGCGACCCACTGAATTTGTTGGATACCAAACAACATAAATCCCGCTTTTTCTGGCTTTATTGGTTTTTGGATCACACCTACAAGTTCACAGCATTTTTGTAATTGTCATTAACATCTTCTCCTAAACATTACAAAATATTTTAGAAAGGTGCAAGCCTTTTAATCCCAGCAGTGTTTCAGGCTGCAGCCTTGCATGCTCAACACACAGGCACACTGCATGTTTTACTCTCGTTTGCGTCTGTCACACAAACCTCCTCCTATTTTTCTGTAGTTCCCATGTTAAAAACCAAGAATAGCTTTATTACTTTTCTTTTTAGAGGCATTTATTCAGAGGTAAGTTGACCACAACTCTACAGGCATTTTTTAAATATATATATAACATTTTGAGTATCAGAAAAATGCCACAAAAAGACTCAAAGTCTATCTTATTCTTTCTTAGTGGGAACCTATTCACCTGGATCCTATTCATGGAACCTTATTTACCAACTACTATGAGGAGAAGAAAGACAACAACTTCCAAAAAAATCTTCATTGTTTAATTACTCCTTGATGGTAATTGTGTTGATCCAAGGTGGCAGGTAACAGTGTCAGTGATGGATTAATGATGAAGTCAGATGGCTTGTATGAAAACTGCTTTTTTGTTTCTGAGTGTAAAACTGAATAGCAGTTTAACATACATTCCAAAATACTATTTGTAACAGAAGGAGAAGGCACTGGAAAATAAGGCAACCACACACCCCTGGGCTAAAAATAGCATTATCTACAAGTTGCATGCTTCATGGTTTCCAAGTTGCAATCATTGTGCTAAAATGCAGATATAGAGAGATTTCCTCCTAACTTCAGCAGAGGTTTATTAAAATACATGCTTTATAAACAAACTGATCATTTTGAGAAAGACTGCTGAAAAGCATTCATGGTATGATTTTTTTTTAAATCCATGACATGAATATCCTTTTTTGTATTCTGCAATAAGCAATAGATGCAAACACACCCACCCTTTTACTAATCAGGAATAAGGAAAGTCCAATTCGATAGATATCTACAAGGCAAAAATCTCCAAGACACTCAAATTTGTTCTCAAACACACAGAGTCACACAGGTTGCTGGTCATATGCATGCAAAGACATTCAGAGAAAACAAAAACAAACCACAAATATGTTCCTTCCCCCTCACTGTTCCAAAGAAGGTACTATTAATTAGCATTAAGACAGTTAAACTTATGGAGAACTTGAGTATTCCCATCTTTGCATATCTTGAGGCACGTATGTTCACACATGTACACATGCACAAACCAGAAGAAGAGACGGTGCTCTTTAAAAACATCGAAGTCTACAGCAGTGCATGCAGATGTAATGACAGCTGATTTTTTAAATAACAGAGCAACTCGATAGCAGCAACAAAGCATAGGGAAAAATACATACAGAGAGAGAGAGAAAGCTTTCCCCTTACCTATTGCTTATGTTTAATGACGGGTCGACTTCTCTACAGACGGCAGGTATTTTGGCCCAAAGTGTCAGGGACTGGGAGCACGTGCCCACCGACCCTTCTACAAGCCATCTTTCCCCTGTCTGTTAGCGCACCGTACATCTCCGGCAGCTCCGCTCTCCAGCTGCAAACATCTCATTAGACTAATGCATTCAGCACAGGCAGAAAACTCGATTTACCATAGCTACAGCAATGAATTTCCATTACGATGACAGCTTCAACCACATCATGTCCGGAAAACCAGCCAACCACTGCCTTTTTAAGAACACACACACATTTCACATGCAGAAAACGTGGCTTGTGTGTGTGTCTGTGTGTCTGTGTCTGTGTATATGTGCGCGTGCTGTGTTTTCCTCCTCTTTCTGCAGCTAAACTAAGGGGGAAATATGTCATGTTGGAAAGTGTGCATAAATCAGCAAACGCTCTGGCACTTTAGGGTTGTTTGGTTTTTCAAAAATATTTTAAAGCATGTTCCTTGCAGCAACAAGGATTCTTTGATGACGCGAGTGGGTGTTTGGAACCCTTTTTTTAAAAAAAACCACTATCCCTCCTTTGTTGCCATAGTAACCAGACTGTATCATCATCTCTTTGTCCCAGTCATGCAGCAATGTGGCCCAGTATTGCGCTTTAGACGGCATCGGCGACAGAAAGGATCTGCCGTTTGACTTAAGGTAACAACAGCAGGTGACAACACCTTTTGACGCAATGCAATTGTCATTGGCACTGATTATGCAGGCTCAGAGTTTTGTGCCCTGAGTTCTCTGTGCCGAGATCCTGGACACAAAGCAAGAGGGATGGGGAAGGTGTTATCCATATACACCATTTACAAATCTGCAGACAAGCTTGGGAAAAAGGAAGCTGGAAGCCAAACTGCAGGAAGTCGCTCCCCCTTCCATCTACATCACAGTTTGAGGAAGAGAGCTTCTCTCCATTCACCTTGCAAGGCAAAGAACAAACTGAGAAAGAAAGCCCATCTACCCCAAAAAAAGTTAAAAAGAGGACCATTCCCATATTTGTAGTAGTTGAAATTTTACTATGGTTCTTTTGAAAAGCACCGAATTTTTTTTTATCACACTTACATTTACTTGCATGACACAAGTTTCTTATGTATTTAAAAGGTGCCTTCAGTGTTTCTCAACCTGCGGGTCCCCAGATGTTTTGGTCTTCAACTCCCAGAAATCCTAACAGCTGGTAAACTGACTAGGATTTCTGGGAGTTGTAGGCCAAAACACCTGGCAACCTACAAGTTGAGAACCAATGCCTAAAATATATTTTATTTATTATTTTATTTATTTGGAACATTTCTATCTCGTCCTTCTCAACCTCTGAAGAGGGACTAAGGATGGCTACCAACAGGCACTATTCAATGGCAATACAATATAGTAACATAGCATAAAATACAATTAACATAAATTAAAACAGTTATAAACATACATTAAAACAGTTTGCTGGTTCAAATCATCATCCAAATCAATCCATTGCAGTCCACTAAAAACATTATCTTCCCCTGCAAGAACTGTTTCAACCAAGGTCCATATAGTCACACCATATTCTGTTTATCACAGTGGCTCTGCCAACTTCTCCAGGTAACCCACATCAGGTCATAATTGTAGCAGCAGTTCCAGGAAGGCAGTCTTATTAGCAGCAAAACAACCCACAGGTGCATCTACACTGTAGAATGAATGCAGTTTGTCACCACTTTGACTATCATGGGAGTTGTGATTTGGTGAGGTACTGTTGGAAACAGCAGCCTTCTACAAGCCTCCTATACTAGTTATTTGTTATGTATATAATTGTGATTGTTTGCTGTATTGTATGTATATATTGATATGCAGTTTTCCCTTAACTCTATGTTGTTTGAGGTTGTGGGAGGGACTGCAGACCATGTGACCAGATCTGGGACTATTCAGACTGTGATTCCGTTTTAGAAGCCAGTTTGCATCAGAAGCAGTACAGTTTAGAAGTCAGTCGGCACAGCATGCAATTGTCAGTGTTAGTATAATGTCAGTGCCAGTACGCTGCAGTGAGTAGTCAATCTGTATTGAGTCAGTGTTCAGCAACGTATTAGATTGAAGAGAGTGTTACTCTGTATGCAACAAAGAAGAGACTAAAGCAGAGTGCTTTAAATAACAAATTGTTTAAACTATCAGTCAATAAGAAATCTACCTGTATGCTGAACACATGAAGTTTGTAAGTAAATGAACTATGTTACTTTTAACAAAGACTAATTATTTAAAAACCAACATATTTCATGGGAGAATAGATTTTGGCGGAGGGGGGCAATTGAAATAACACATCATCAACATGTGAACTGCTCTGAGTCCCCTTCGGGGTTGAGAAAGGCAGTATACAAATAGCACAAATAAATAAATAAACAAATAAATACTTTTCTAGATTTCCTATATATTTTGTGCATTGGCATATCTTTGTTCATAACAGTTCAGAGAGATAACCAGGTATGTCACTCTAACAACTGAGAAGCCTAAATTGCCTTGCATGAATACTAGTGGATATTTACCACTAAGGAGAAGATTTACTCAAACGAGTAGTCAACTCTTCTCAGGAAGATCATACTTTAAAAAAAGGTATGATTATTCCAAATAGTATGAATGCCAATTAATCTCCAAAAGGGTCATACTTCCAAAAGGCTATGGAGATTCCTGGTTTTCCAAAAGGTTATGATCTCTAAAAGGTCATGCCTTTCCAAAAGGTACCAGCACACTTTGGCAAAGAAGGCGAAAGACCTTGTAAAACTACAACACTCATGATTCCATAGCTTTGAGTCATGGCGCTTAAAGTGTGTCAGACTGCATTATTTCTGTGTGTAGATGCACCCAAAGTCTCACGGCATCTTAAAGATGTCATACACTTCAGGGACTGTCACCTTTTTCATCAGATGTTCTATCATCTGGTTACAAGAGATATACTGGGAATAAACATGGACTCAACTACCATGATAAAAAGACTTTGGTGGATGATAGATAGACATCTTGGACCATAAATCCTTACAGAGCAAAACAGCATCTTCCATGAACAACTTGTGAATAGCACCAAGCTTGCATAAATTCAAAAGTTTACAGAAGAACCTATATTGGGGGGAAATAGTAATAGTGGGAAACTCTGAAAACATCTTAACAAGGACTATGCATATTTGAAGCAGAAGAGCAAAGAGAAAATGGCACAGATAACTATTGGAAACTCTGAACAAGAATTTTGATAAAACACACACAAGTAAACTAAACAGGTCTTGCTTGAAAGGTTAGACGTGTGATTTGTTCTTTGTTCATTTTCTTCTTCCTCCTTCTCTTCTATTTATTATAGAATTATTTTGAATTGTTATGTATTCTTATATGTTTTATTATTAATTATATAATAAAATGGTAAAGAGAACAAATTTTGACTATAGTTTAATTTACTAATCATTAATAATTAGCAACACAGAATCAAAAGTAATCGAATACATAAAAAATTACAGAAGTTTTGGAGTGTAAAGCAAAGGTAAAGGTTTCCTCTTGACATTAAGTCTAGTTGAGTCCGACTTTGGAGGGTGGTGCTCATCTCCATTTCTAAGCCGAAGGGCCAGCGTTGTCTATAGACACCTTCTCGGTCATGTGGCCGGCATGACTGCATGAAGTGTCATAACCTTTCTGCCGAAGTGGTACCTATTGATTTACTCACATTTGTATGTTTTCAAACTGCTAGGTTGGCAGAAGCTGGAGCTAACAGTGGGAGCTCACTCCATCCCATGGATTTGAACCACTGATCTTCCAGTCAGCAAGTTCTGCAGCTTAGTGGTTTAATCTGCTGTGCCACCACATCCCCTCTTGAAGTGTAAAAAGCTTATATATTAGGGGTATGAAAGGACTGTCTGTTTTCCAGACTTATACTGAACAATCAGTTGCCTGATCTTTTGAACAGAATTCAATCTGTTTGGTTCTTACATCATTCCAATAGAGCTGTATAAGTTAATATCCATATTACATCTACCTTTGCAAATGGAATACCTAGTTTCCAATTGCAATTTTTTAAAAAATCCCTTCATTTTATTTAATTCTTCCAGTTTAATGTATTTGGTAATCTTAACCCGTCTTGTAATATTCCATATTTTTGGTAATACTAATTATCCTTTAACACTAATTTCTGATTACCTCTTTGGAAAACTATTTTTGTGGCTGTTAAAAGATTCTAGATCAATTTGTAAATATTGCTACTATCAAATCTGGGGACATGGATTATTTAAAAGGTACAATGTGTTAAAATCTGGACATTCACAACATACATGAGTTCTTTCTCCCACCCTGCACATTCCATATATATATCTATATATATATATATATATATATATATATATATATATATATATATATATATATATATACACACACACACACACACACTACATTTTCCTAGTTTCCAACAGAACTCACAACCTCTGGGGATGCCTGCCATAGATGCAGGCGAAACGTCAGGAAAGAATGCTTCTGAAACATGGCCACACAGCACAGAAAACTCACAGTAGCCCTGTTAAAATCTTGTTGTTGTAGTGTAGAAATTGTGTTTTCCCCCTCACATCTGGCAAAAAGACATCAGAGAATATCACTTGTTTAAAAAGGAATGAAAAGAATTCAGTTTCTAGGTAGAAATAAAATATTTCTGTTTGCCGTGGGGATTGCCTCTGGACATTTCATTAAAATGTCAAGTGTGTGTTTAGAAAAAAACTGAGAATTTTAGCAACAGATAAAGAAACTAACAGGAACTTTTCTTCCATCTGTTTTCCTCAATTAACATTAATTTCAAGCAGACAGACAATTAATTAATTTCTGTTAACATATTATATAAATGGCAAGCAAACACCATAAAAATAATCAATTACATCAATGTTCGTCTGTGACTTTACTTAAACAATCTATTTTCCAGGAATGTCAAATACTAAAGGTGTGAATGCCAACACTCTAATGTTAAATTGCAGAGATATTTCCATTTTGATGTCATTTCTAAAAACAAAACAAAAAGCAAGTCCACTGTACATGAAAATAATATATTGTTTAATGGTGCATGTCTCCAACACTAGTCTGGAGTCAATCAATACCATTAATAAAGGAATTATTTGTTTTAGTAAAGGTAAACTGCCATCCTTAATCTGAGATGACCATTCCTACCATCTTCTCCAATTATTCCTTAATAAGAGGCAGTTTCTATAACTGCCATCACATTGTAGTAAGTACATAAACCTAAACTCAAGATATTTTATGGAAGAAAGGATAGCAACTACCTTTCTCTTTAAGTAATTGGCTTTAGGTACACTCAGTCACAGGAGGGAGACCTGGTCTGTTTTCAAGCTGAGTTATACAACTAACACTATATGTCCAAATTCCAGAATGTATTAAA